CACACCAAACACTGTGTCAAAAAGACCCATAGTCAAATCCAGGCCACTGAACCACAGAAATATTCCTTCTCAGGACTTCTATGAAGATGGCTAACGATGAAAATAATTGATATCCAACCATCATAATTTTACATACTTAATGTCAAATAAGTAAATTATCATCCTGTATATACAACAAGATCAACAGAAACGTGTAAATCCTCACTTGAAGTAATTATAAAAATACTCCTACACTTTAATAAAGTAAAACTAAGAATGCTTTCACACAAACTAGTTATTTGTTAAAATAATCTTTAGTAAACTTGTTAGAAACATATACTGGAATTTTTTGGCCATCATTCTCTGGTGATCAATAGCTTATAAAGTTGCTATTATTTCCTATCTTTCTTTCTTTTTTTCATTTATTTGTGTTGAATTTATTGTAGGTTTATTTGACACACACTTCTTTTTGGAGTAATGTAATTTCTTGTATATATGTGTGTTAAAAAACCCCATAGATAGTATAGTTTATTGTTGTGTGCATGTTTCTGAAAACTTATCCAGGATTATTTTAAGCTCCATAAACAATTTTATACTGCATAAATACTCTCTTCATTTTTTCTTATATGTGATTTCTGAGCAAACTTTTTACTTCTGGTTGTGAGTAGGTTTTACATACATAAACTATGTCTTTTTATTCAAGCCAAAGTTCCTTCAGAATTTTAGAATACATATGGGAGGAAAGATATCTTTTATATCCCATTTTGAGTTGTGCATTTTTATTTGAATAATTGTACTGATTTCAAGTTTCTACATTTTGGTAGCGTTAGTCCTTTAGAAAACACGTATCTAGTGTCAGGAATATTCATTCCTCTTACATCTGATTTTGGAGTTTGATCAGACTTGTTTGTTGATACTTAAATTAGTGTGGTATCCAGCACATTTCTTGATACCTAAGTTTAGCACAGAGCTCTTTTGTAACTTTTGTAATTGTTTTAACCCTTTCCAGATGGGTCACGGGTGAAAGGCCATGTCATCGTGTTTGTTGACTTGCATTCAAAATTTTATTGAACTACTATTTCAT